GAGATTGTAATCTCGAGATTTAAACCTCGAGATTGTAATCTCGAGATTTAAACCTCGAGATTAAGATTTCGAGGTATTGCCTTAGAATTTTGTTTAAAATCCACCTGCTCTCGATATTCAACATCGAGAACCTCATCTTCGAAGAAATTCCTCAAAAACTCAAAATTAGAGATTTTCTGCGACACCGCACTGTTTTGGCCATAACTTTTGACTTGGTAATCCGATTTGAGCAATTTTTTTTGTTGCAAAGCTAACGAGAAGATCTACATTAATTCTCGGGATGTGCCCTTGAAACCATTCTCACGCGCCCTCACTCGCAGTCCTTGAAGGTCAAAACGTTAGTTTTCCGACAAACATTGTAAATCACCGATGTCCAGGTCAAAACTTAGGCAAATCTGTTCAAATTCTTTCATTGTCAACCCTGAGGTCAAAGCTTTTCTAAACTTCAATTTAAAGTTCTGAAAATCGTAGATAATTCAATCAACCTCGCGTCAACGGTCATCTTACAACAATCAACAATCAACTGCTGAAGCCTCCCCTAACTCGTCAACATTATGTGATCATCAATATGCTGCAATTCTACATGATGAGCTCAGGAAAACCGTCATGTGTGGTACATATTCAGATTGCTCCACACACATGACGGGTATGACAAGCTGTGAGCAATCAAACCTTGCACATTCTGAGGGGGAGTTTCAGTTTTCTCCTCCTGGCGCCTTACACCGACAAAGCAAGGAATCTCTCAAAGGATGCAACATTTTAGGGGGAGTGTTCAATATTATCCTTCCCGGTGCCTAACAATGACAAAGCATACCGAGTGCTCCAGTTGAGGGGGAGTACAGAGAGAAAATGAAGAAAGTAATGAGAGAACATGTCCCTATGGCTTAGTAAACCCAACTAAGCCTACCCAAGGGACAAAGCCGAGCGTAAGTGAGTGAGTGAGCGAGTGGGTGAGTGAACATTATGAGCGTTACGAAGCAGAAGGCTCAAGTGAGAAGAAAACCAATAATCAATGATGAGTCTGCTACCTCAACTGCCTATTATCCATTGAACATTTACTCCTAGCCACTCAAATACTCTGGACAATTCCCAAATAGGTTCAGGACTGATTTAATCAGATCCCGGGTAGAAGTCACTGCGTCTTGTCCAACAGTGCACGTTGAACCCTACCCAAGACCACTCACTTGTCTCCCAACAGACCGGTGTTTAATCATATTTCACGGGGAACCGCATCTCTCATTACTGTCTCCTTCCGAGGCAAGTAATACTGACTACAGTGGCTTCAACCCATGACACTGAACTTTCATCGATCACGTCGTGTCTAGTTACTCACTCCCAAATGTTTTGAAATTTTCTAGGACACGGACGCACTTTTAGAGTCAGTTGCAGGTCTTCATGACCCGCGAGAACTTCCATAGGGCTCATCTATTACAGATGTAGACCAATAATTGGAAGGAAGTCCTGCTGTTGCAACATAAGAATCACCAACATTTTCAGGCCATTGCTAAAGCGTTTATCTCTATAGTAATGATAACGGGCGTCTTCACGACCCCGGGGGGCTACGTTATCTTCTTTAGATTCTGCTTGTTTTTCCTGTTTTTATTTCCGCAGAATAAAAGAATAAAGGCATGACGCCCCGAATCATCGGATCGTCATGAGGGGGAGAGTGGTCCACATGCTGTTAACTGTCAAAAAATCATTCTGGGACACTTCTCTCCTCCTACACTCTCTCTACTATCTCCGCTACGTTCACAATTCAACTCAAATGGTCAGCTACGTTCACAATTCAACCATCATTATGTTCCGCTGTGCCACCGACAAGTTCTCCTCAAAACAATTCATTCCAAATAGTCAAAAAGACTACATTGTGGAGGAGACAGAGGTCAAATACTCATGTCCTGAAGATGAATTCCATGGGCGTCTCCTATTCTCCAAAGAATATTCATTCTAGAGGCGTCACCGGACTTCATCCAAGCTGATCAAGAGCAACTTCTGGAAGGCAAGGACTACATGCAAGATACTGAAGGTCCCTCAACCCCCGACATCAAAGATCAAATTGTCAAGAAGACATCAAAGGGGAGATTGCAAGGATTTCTTCAGATAGCCTTCCTCAGAAGTCAAGTTCAAAGACAAAGGAAGCTCAATAACAACAAAGACAAAGATATCTGCGCTGCAATGCTGATTCAACACGATTGATCACCAAGGATGAGATTGTTGGGAATATTTTATGGTGTTCAATCTAGTTGGTTATCTTTGTATTTGTGTAGTTATCAATTAAATGTGTAATACGGGCCACAAATGTGTATCAGTCCGGGGGCTTCCTTGTAACCCGTAAGTTAGCCAACTTCTCCTATAAAAGGAGGCTAACTTACGGGAACCCTAACGATGGATAGAGGCTTAGAGACGCAGAGGCGAGATAGAGAGAGATTAGGGTTGCCGCTGCTCTCCTTCTCCAGGGAGAGCATCGGACAGTTTATACGGTATACCAGATTTGGTTTTAAACTTGTCGATTTCTTTCTATCTGCTTCTTCTTAACTGCTTAGATTGTTTGATTGTAAATATATGGGTTTATCAGTCTATGAAATTTATGAGAAAACTTAGAAAAATATGATGATGCATAAAAGGAGAAAAATACACATTTATGGTGGAATTAACGTAACAAGAAAAAAAATGAAGTAAAATGAAAAAAGCACACAACAAAGTAACAAGAAGAAGAAAGGGAAAAGTGAAAATAAAAAAAAAATATAACAAAAAGTAAAGTGGGAAAAAATCTTTAATAAAAAGAGAATAATTAAAAAAAGAAGCAGATAAAAAGGGAAATGAAATCAAAATACGGAAAGAAAAAATGACAAAAAAACGCTTAGAAAAGAAATTTTACAAAAAAAATCTTATAATAGAATGAGAATTAGAATAATAAATATGGAAAAGAAATAAAAACAAAAGAATGGAAAAAAGGTTTAAAAAAGTAAGTGTAGGGATAAAATGAAAGAAAGAAAAGTCGTTGGGTTGAAAATCATTGGGGTGATGATATTTGACTTTGCATCCCATTTTTAAAATCATTAATGTATGCACCCTATTAACCCAAAAATTGTGCAGGAGTGGGTGCAAAGTCAAATGATTTTATAGTGAATTGGGGTGCATACATTACCGATTTTGAAAATAGGGTGCAAAGTCAAATATCACCCAAAACATGGGGTGCAAAGTGAAATTCCCCCCAAAAGAAAAAAGAAAACATGAGATTGTTTTGAGCAAGTTTGTGAAATGTGAGATTATTTATATAAGATTTCAAAAAAAAAAAACAAAAAATTTGTTATAGTAAGTCATCACCTGATAAGGGTCCAATGAGAGAAGATGAACCGCAAAGGTTTGATTATTCTGTGATTACGTAAATGTGGGATCATAGTTAGTTAAATACGGTACGGGAATTAAACGTGGTTTAATACGTATGTGTTTTATTCGGTAACTTGAACAAAATATACGGTCAAAAATTCGGCAAAAAATACGTTGACTTTTATAAAACGTGTAAATACGTATATGTGTATGATACGGTATCTCTTAGAAAAATTCGGGTTAAAAATACGGGCCTTATTTTGAATGATAAAATTATTGTACTAGTTTTTAGAGCATAAAACACATATAGTACATAAAGGATAATCAACATACACACACATTCAAATATAATATCTCATTACTCCATCAAAAAATGCGTTCGTAATAGCATAAGTTAATGACAAAAAAGAATAATGATTAAGTCCAAAATAACATTTAAATTATATACTTCATAAAGTAACATATAATAAAAAGAAATAAGAGTACACATATTGAAGCAGCAAATCACATTACTACATAAAAGAATAATTTGTAATTGCATAAGTCGATGACAAAAGTAAAAAATAGTACGGAGTAATTAAGTCCAAGACATAATTTTGCAAAGTAATGTCAGAAAATATGGCATAAAAACGATAGAATGAGGCCAAGTTAACATCATCATCATCATCTTTACATGATCATCAAATAACACTCAAGTTAAACTCATCATTTTCACCTAGATGACGGATGACATGAGAAAGTTGTACGACTGCAACACTTATTATTGTTTGTGTAAAATTTATACTAAAGAATGTCAAGTTTAGAAAAATCTTAATTTTGATATGCTTGTTTGGAAAAGAACATCACAAATCTAATACGTAGTAGTATTTTAGATTTTAGTCTTTTAGGATGCTAGCTTTAGTCATCATGCAATTAATTTTAGTATTTAACAATTGTATATTTTGTATTGTAACAATACAAAAACACGGCGTCACGGGGATGATGTTTTCTTTTTTGTTTTTAAACTACTGTTAATCTCCTATTCATTTGATGTATTCATTCAAGTGATCAAATGATGTTTTTATTTTTTGTAAAATACGGGAAATATACGTTTTATACGGGAAGTGGAAGTTTTTTTCCTTTTTAAACGGACCGACATTATTTTTCGTTTTAAACGCGTTTTTTAGTTCAAAAAAATGGTACGTGTTTAAAACGCGTTTTAAACGCAAAAAAGCTAACTAGGTGTGGGATTCTTACGAGGAGAACGGTGAGAGGTGAGATTATTGTTGTAATTCTTCCTTAATACGAGTACCATCGTACTCCCTCCGTCCCATTGGACTTTGACAACTTTCATTTTTTGGTTGTACTAAAAAACTTTGCCACTTACCTATTAAAAAACTAATTTGTGGTTCTGCACATTTTTTTCTCCTATGCACAAATCTCAACCACACAGTTTTCACTACTTTTCATTTGACAAAGTCAAAGTATATAACTACCCTGATATATCATGTACACATAATATATTGTTTGTATATGATTCTTAAAACTGCTTCTGCTCTTTCAGGGAGCAGAAACAGAAGTTGAAGTGTTTGGGTGAAAATGTAAAAGTGATCATCGTGCTCTAATTTACTCCTAGAATCAGTTTTTTTAGAAGCTGAGGGTGACCGACTTCTGAAAACTAAATCTGGTTCTGCTCTTTAAAAAAGAAAAAGAAGCGAACCTAGTACCTAGAACCTAGAACTTCGCCCTACACAATAGGGAGTATTATTGTTTTTCTCACACCCAATTCTCACTTGAAGGCCAGCGGAACATCATTGCCCGCAGCCACTTTAGGGAGAACGCCATCCTATTCTCCTGAGGTTTACTGGAGGTACGGTCTAGTGAAGCTTGCCTAATTATTCTTTCCTGCAAATCCCACACACCAATCTTATTCAACCATAGAATGCACTTTTTTTAGGCATGGGCTCTTTTGGTATCCAAAAGATGACCAAGATCATCTTTTACGGCTGCCATTCGTTCTCTGCAGGTTGCGGTGAATTAGTGCATAGATTCGAAGATGGGCTTCTCTCGTGGTGTAAAATGTCCCATTGAGATCATGTATAAGAGGTTAAATGGCCACTTGCAATTGGGACAGTATTACTCCACCCTGACAAGCCGAGAAAATTTAGCTAATAAAATTGGTGGAATTACAAAGTTTTATGCTTCAAGATATGCAAATGGGAACCTTGAGCCTGGATTTCCCTCTAGGAGGTACTCGACAGAGGTCTCTTCTTCAGACCAGATGGGTTTGATAAAGCTCCTTAGGGAACGAACTAGTGCACCCATTAAAGAAGTCAAGGCTGCTCTTGTTGGCAGCAATTGGGACATTGGCAAGTTTAAAACTTTTTTAGTTTCATATATTATTTTTTCTTTATTTGTCCTTTTTTCTACTATGGGTTAAAAATAAGTGAATAAATAATTGATTTTATGGTTCTGTTTTCAGTAAAATCACTGTTATGTGTTTTATTCAATGCAGATGCGGCACAAAAAGAACTAAGGAAAAGAGGAATGGTTTTGGCATCAAAGAAGTCATCTCGAACTGCTTCTGAAGGTTTGCTTGCTTTGGCACAGAATGAAAGAAAGACTGCTCTAGTTGAACTTAACTGTGAAACAGATTTTGTGGCAAGGAATGAAATTTTTCAGTACTTGGTTAGTATAAAAGCTTCTTGACCTAAGACTCTATTTCCTGGGATTAAAATGTTGGGACTTGGGAGTCAATGTAGAAGGCACCGTCAGCTGCTATTACCTTCCTAAAAGTCTGGACCGTGCTTGACTGCCTTCATGGATAGTTAGATTCAAAACTTGGCAATCTCGGAATATTAAAAAAGAAGAGAGCAGATTTTTGCATGAAATGTTGGACATATGCTTAACCAGGGATTTACCATTGTCTGCTCTACATTCCTTTCGCTGTGGTTAATATTTTTTTTTTTTTACATGTACAAATTAATAAATCATGCAGGCTTTATCTTTGGCAACATCAGCACTGCTGGTTGAGGGTTCCCAACAGGCATCCGGGGCACTTTCTTTTGGACCTGAATATCTTGAGGTGTGATGCTTTTATAAGTTTTTTGCATAAAAGTGTCGAGTTTTAGGTGACTAAATAGATGGTAAGGATTTTACATTAGTTATTTTGGCTTTAATTTTTTTCCATTAAACAAATATTGAGCTGTTGGACCAAACTAATGATTCTAAAAGCTATATCTGAAGTTTAGATACTTTTTTTGCCTCAATGAAACCCTATTATTACACTTGCATAGTTGTAATGTAGTTAAATCTCATTGGCACTAACTGTTGTGTAATGTGTACCATATCCTGTGTTACTTGTTTTGAGAGCTTATATTAAGTTAGCACTATTTTCTTTCTGATCTTTCCTGTGCCATTATTCCAGTTCTCTTAGATGTCAATGTCGCTTAAGTGAAATAAGCATGTATGAATCGAAAATGGAAGCAACTCAAGCAAGTGACCATAACTTTGACTGCAGGATATGAAGCTTAATCTTGATCACCCTAAATTAAATGGAGAGAGGACTGTTCAAAATGCAATAACTGAAATCGCTGCAATGATGGGGGAAAATGTGAAACTTAGAAGGGGCTTTGCAATAGCCAATCCCTCACAGGGCATAATGTCTACATATTTACATACAAGCCCCCAACAAGGTACTTAGTGAGTATTTATTTTACCCAACAAGGATGTCAGTATGTGTAACTTGTGTATCTTCTGTTGAGTTAATATAGCTCTCTTGTTGCAGGCGTTGGACGTATTGCTGGGATTTTATCTCTTGAGGTTGAGGATCCAAATGCTCCCTTGGATGCTGTTCAGCGCATTGGATCAGAACTAGCAATGCATGTAGTGGCAGCAAAGCCATTGTTCTTGACTAGGGAAGATGTTTCTTCAGATGCACTAGCCAATGAACGCGAGATTCTCAAATCCCAGGTAGTATTTGGAATAAACCATTCATTCTTGTCGAATTTAACTGTTTAACCTCAGAACTGTATTTGGATCTCGGAAAATGCTAGGGATATGAAAGAAATGCCAAGGGCAATTGTTTTACAATGCTTGTTTTTACCACAGAAAATGTGAATGAAAATGAATGTGATTAGGATTTTTAATTTGTTACATATCTTTAGATTTATTAGTATATAAGTAGAAGTTTGTAAATAAAAATGAATATGAACAAAAATTAAAAATAAATTATTTGCGTTTGAACCAATGTTATATTTTCCTCAACATATTCTTTCCTTCCAAATTTTCTCTATACTTTCTTCCCTGTTTTCTTTCCATAGCATTTTCTGTTTTTCTGAATTCTAAACATAGCCCAATCAAATTTACTAGAACTTACAAACTTTTGGTATTAAGTTCTTATTTTTATGTTATCAACTGTGTGAAGTGGTCTCTCTCTCTCAGTCTCTCCATCCCATCCCCAACAAAAACCACAAAGAATTACATTATCTTGAAAACATCATCCATTGAGGTGATGTAAGGCCTCTTAATAACAATCATTGAGAACTTTTTCGGTCTTGACAGCTTATAGTGTAAAAAACTGCAGTTCACTTATGTATAATGTGATGTACAAGCATGTTTTCATCTTCTGAAGTTAAATAAAGTAAAATGAAATGAGATTGGATTACGTTCCTTATCAGGCAGAAAGTACAGGCAAACCTGCAATGGCCATTGAGAAAATGGTTGAAGGTCGCCTGCGGAAATACTATGAAGATGTAGTGTTGATGGAGCAGAAATTTGTTGTAAATGACAAACTCGATATTAAGGTAAAGTCTTTTTATTGTTTTCGTTAGCGTGCTTTTTGGATAGTTGTGTCTATTCTGCTATTTGGATCTTACTTTGGTCATTTATATTCATTCCCATGCATTTCTACATTGTATTACCTGAATTACCCTATATGCAATGGAAATATTTATTGGAAGTTGCGACTATTTAGATAGTTTCATCACAATGACATGATAGTATTGTATCTAGATTCTGTTTCTTCACGTCATGTTTTTCTCCAACAGCCAACTACTTGCTAACATCCTAACAAAATTTTGCAGACATTGTTGAGTAATCTAGCCAAGGAAGTGGGGTCGCCCGTAAAGATAGGGAACTTTCTAAGAGTGGAAGTCGGAGAAGGCCTTCAGAGGTAAATGCTTCCCATTCCTTAGGAGTTGGGAAACTTGGAATAAAGTTGTTACTGACACTTTTTCTTAATCGAACATCGCTCTATTCTAAGGTTCTGTACTTCTGTATTTGATTAAATGACATGTTTTCCAAATCGGCCAGTATAAATGTCCAAGGGGTTTAGTGTTTACAGGTTGTTTATTAGTCATTGCACATATAGTGGTTGATGAATTGGCCTTTTTTCCTTGCTTTTGAGTTTTGACATAACAGGATCACTTAAGGATATGAAGTAATGAGCATTCCATTTAATAGATGAATGGGTTAAAGCATAATTTATAGCACCATCCCTCCCCAAAAGGCATACATTATGGGTTGTCTCTTCTTTATTTGCAAAGATTTTGATTCCAATCTTCGTTCAGAAGATATCTTTATATTTTCCCTTCTCACCTTGTAGTTTTACTGATGAGTATGTAGGATGGAATTTGTCCACATTATCTGATAAAGAAACCTGTTTTAATTATTTATTTTGATTGCCTGACTACCAACTTACCAAGTACTCCCTTCGTCCCAAAGAATTCTTCCCACTTGCCATTTTGGGATGTCCCAAAAAATTCTTCTCATTTCCCTTTTTGTAATGATTTGTGTGGCTATCATTCAATAACCTTTTTCTTAATCAACCACAACCTACGTTTCCACTTCAATCCCACTTTCTTAATAAGCGTCCCAAGTCAAAGTGGGAAGGATTTTTTGGACGGAGTATATGAGAAGTAGAAGACTATGATATGGTCATATGGAGACTCTTGTCTTCCTCACATGCAGTTAGCTGCATCCAGTTATCTATACAAATGCTCATATTATGGCTTCATCTTTTATTGTTTTGAAGGAGTAAATTTTGGTTGCATTCAAATATTTTGAACCAGGCACACACCCACTGTTATATTACAATGAATTTGTATCATCTTAATTTCTTATTTGATCTGCTGTTAGAACCACATGACAGTGCAAATTTAGACTCCATTTTCAACTTTGTAGTATGCACTTTTGTTTTATTTGAGCATCTTGTAAAATTCTCTGTATTGGCGTGTAACCTGTAAAGTGTAAATGGATCCGGTGCTTGATAGCTGCAAGTCATATACAATTAATTAGCTCTTCTTGATTGGATGAACATTTAAAAGGCATATTTGTTATTTGTAGTAATGCTAGCAGGATAATTATATTGGTTACACACCCCTGACGGAATTACCATTCTATATCAGAGTTTTCCACTTTTAGTCCCCATACTATTGTGTAAAACTGTAAACAACATATCTGGTACCCGTTTTGTACTTTATCCATTGACTAGAGTGATGGAGACATTTTTTGTATGTCCTTGATTCTTCCCATTTTTAGTTATTTGACTATTGAGGTAATGACAACTTTGGTACTACAATTTTGATAGCGACACTTTTGGTCCTCTAACTGTTGTGTCAAAATCCAAAGATAATCATGGAAAGTGTGGGTATCGTAATAGTCAAATGACTAAAAGTGGATTAATCCTAAGAGGTACAAAAAATGGCATCTTCACAGTAGTCAGATTGATTAGGAGTGGAAAAACTCTTGTAAATCAGTGCAAATCTGAAGCAATAATTTAGCCGGGTGAGTGTAGGGGTGGACTGGGCCCTGACAACCCGACCCGGAACCGACCCGGGACAGGTAGTAATGTGGTGTGGCCACCTAGCTTTTTTCTTGTTATCTGACCTATCTTTTCATTCTTGGGTTCTACCTTGCAGTCTTGAAGAATGTGATGGTGCTGAACCTTCAGCTCAGGCAGCTTGATTGGGGCAACAATTTTCACGCTTTTTTCGAGGCTAAAGAATGTTATATTACAGCGTGTTTCCATTTGACGTTGAAACCCTAGTTCTGTTTTGTTTTTATACTTTTTATACATAACTGATTCTTCTGTGGTTAATTTTATTTCACTGAGGTGCCTGAAGACTGAATTCGAAGGGCGAATGCTTAGGTATTTGAAGGGAAGCCTCCATGAATTTTGTTGTGAACATCAAAGAACAAATAATGTAGGAGGTTCTCTATGAATATTAAGTTTTGAAATGCACCAGTTCCTGGCTTCCTGCATTAGACATAAATAACTTGCTGCTAATTTATATGCTACATAAAATTATAATTGTTATAGATCGAGAGGCCAAAAACATCACATTCATTCACATATAGCCATGTATATATACAAGGAGAGGGGAGCTAGGGTTACACTTGATATGGGCCGGAACAAATGGGCTTGGGGATTAATGGACATCCACAGTCCACACCATTACATAACACCCCCCTTGGATGTACATTACTAAATAAAAACATTACAAATATGGATTATTCTCTCTATACAAAATGGTAAAGCTACCTTGTTAAAAACCTTGCTGAGAAAAACCCAGTGGGACAAAACCTTGCTCAAGGAAAAAAGAGTGCAACACATGTATACTCCCTTGGTTGATTGCATCACTTCAGGTCTTCTTATTGAATCCAATTCAATCCAATTCGGTTGCTAACTTTTCGAATGAATTATTGTACTATGTGTATGCCTTATGGATGGACTCGGGTCCGGGCCTAGGCCCGGGCGGGCCGGCGGGTCAGAAATGGTGGACCCGGGACCGGCCCGGGTAACCATCGGGTTCGGTCCGGGCCGGGCCCATTATATTTTTTTTTTGTTTTCCTCTTCCTAATTAACCCCCTCCCACCCCAACCCCCCAAACCACCCCAAATGGCCCAAAATACCCAGCCCAACCCGAAAATTTAAAAAAATTGAAAAAAAAAATAGTTTTTGGCCCGAACCGGGCCCGGGCCCGGCCAGGTCGGGCCTTGTTTTGGGTGACCCGAGCCCGGACAAGAAAACCCACGGTCCGGGCCTACCCGGACCGGTCACTGACCGGGCCACCGGGTCGGGCCGGGCCGGAACAGTACCGATCCCGGGCCGGTTCCGGGTCGGGCCACCCAGCCCGAGTCCATCCATAGTATGCCTTATTAAAAACCTTGTTGGAAAACCCTTTGGGAAAAAACCAATCAAGGAAAAGAGTACATAATATATGTAAAACAATGTGTTACAAAACCGCCTCATTAAAAACCATTAACTAAGAAAACCATGTAGGAAAAACTTAGTAAAGGAAAAGAGTGCAATCATTTGCCTTTAGGGCCTAATCTTCTGGATCACTTTTAAATTCACTTTTCTGGACAATAATAATATTCCAAGATCTTATATATCATAATATGTTGTTTGAGAATCACAAACTGCCTCGTTAAAATCTTTGACCAAGAAAACCCTATGGGACAAAACTTGGTTAAGGAAAAAGAGTACAATTGTATATGGTCTTCCGGACAAATAAATTGTTCGATCTCACAAGGACCAATTAAGACCTTCAGGGTACTATCTCCCGAACTAATATTAGAATCACTCTTCTAGAGGATAATTAGGGCTGGACCCGGGCCGGTTCAGTTCCGATTCCGGAACGGGCCCGGGCGGGCTTTTTTTGCAAAATGTTGGGCCCGGAACCGACACAGGTTGATACCGGGTCCGGGCCTAACCGGGCCGGGCCCGGGTCAAGTTAATTTTTTTTTGGTTTCTAATTAACACCCGACCCCCCCCCCCTTCACCCCCACCCCCCAAACCCCCCCCCCCCCCCCCCAAAAACACCCAACCCTAACCTGGAAAAGCAAAAAAAAATTGAAAAAACAAAAAAAATTGAACCGGACCCGGCCCGAACCACTCGGGCCGGTTCACCAAAAGTTGGACCCGAGCCCGGCCCGCCCGACCTGCCCAAACGGGCTAAAAGCCCGGAACCGGCTAACAGGCCCCGGTTCGGTCCGGGCCCAAACAGTAACGGGCCGGGCCGGTTCTGGGTCGGGCCGGGCCGGTTTAGTCCATCCCTAAGGATAATAGTCTTCTGAATGTTATGTATCTTTCTCACTCTTTAAAAACTACAAAATACCTGAAAACCTTTGGCCAAGAAAAACCCTTTGGGACAAAAACTTGGCTAAGGAAAAAGATAGCACATGGTCTTGTGGACCAATTAATTGTTCCACTTCAACAACAACTCAATATGTTTAGGTGGAAATATACGATAAGTGGAAGCAATTGTCTAAATTCATGATTCTGCAATGTGTATTTCAAGACCTTCAAGTTTATTGTTATTATGCACGTCAAATATTCAATAATTGAGTATTCTCAAATATTGGTCTGTAAAACTTAAATGCGACATGTTTTGATCTTACTAGGATCTCAAATTGGTATACAAACACTTCAGGTGTTCACGATATAATGACTAGATATTTTATTTATTATATAATCAAACATCATTCAAATCAAAAGATTTTCATGTGTTGTTTCTAGGTTTGGCTAGATGCTTAAAAGCATCCAACACCTTTATTTATAAAATTTGGTTCATATAACAATATATGTTTACTTCAGGTAAACAAATAAAAGGTTTATGAGTAATTGCAAATTCATTGCATAATGTTTCCTCATTCAACTCTTTCTGCAGGAAAGGTTGAAAAATACTACGAATATAGTTCACTTTAAATTAGTTTTAATTCTAGTCATGAAATCATGTGAAAACAAATAAGAAAATTTCACATTAGATCTTCTACAGGAGGCACTCACTACAATCGATATTTTGAAATGGTGCAACGACCTTGTTCATCCGTGATATTAAATAATATAATTTGCACCATGATCATTAAGCGTAGTTCTTATACAAAATAAATCATTTTATCAACACTTACTATAATCACCCAGATTGTAGTTAGGCACAAGCATCAATTTTATATATTTCCAGCAATGCTTAATGTTATTGTTGCAGTTATTTAATCAATTTCAAATTCCATTTCAAGAATAGTTCCAAATATAGTTACTATAATGATGGATAGTGTACCCGGGGGGTAGCTTATCCGAGGGGTTATTGCGGGGAGTAACAAGAGAGAAGTTAGAGCAAGTAAATGTAGAGAGAGAAAGTATATTAGAAGTGCGGAGCGTTTTCAGCGTGGTTACAAATGGGGAAATGAGGTGCTATTTATAGTAGCAATAAATGCCGGACAGGGACACATGTCAAGCGCCCATTGGCCGAGAGGTCACCTCAACTGGTTGGCGCTGGCAGCCGCATGTGGCCGCATTTAATGCGGCTGTTGGATGGGATGTCTGTACAGGGTACGGTGATCTGTACGCATGTGATGCGGAGATCATGTCGGGAGAGGTGCCCCCGGTCACAGAGGACTAGCCGAGGGCTCTTAGTGCCGAGGACCCCTGAGTGCCGAGGGCTCCTGGTGCCGAGGGCTACTGTTTTCGCCGTTTTCTCCCAGTTTCTTAGTTTGCTTGAGAAACCCGTTCTGTGAGAGTCTAGAGCCTTCGGCCAGGGGGTCGAAGGCACCCCTGGTGCGCTGTGGGCTGCTTGGCACTCCGGGCGCCATGTTTTGGGCCTGTTGGGCCTTCTGGGCCTGTTGGGCCTTTACTGGAGTAGTAGGAGTCTGTGGGCCGGGGGTTCCTGGGCCATATACTCCATCAGGAGTCCCTCACTCCTTTTGCCGAAAGGTATTTGAGGGAAAAGGAGTAATTTGTGCTTGCCCTTTGATGTTGTCCTGTCGTAATCTCTGAAGTTGGTGAGGAGTTGTTGCTTTTATGTCCCTGCCGAAGGCAGTCCCTCAGTTACCCACATGTCGGGACTTGAGGGCTTGCTTTGTCGTTTGTTGGAATTTTACTAATTTTGTAATTTAATGATTTTCCCGAGGGGGTCCTCCAGTCCCCCACTCCTTGAGGCACTTGTAAAGTGGTGAAAAGGAGTAGAGTAGTTGTGTTGCTGTTGTGGGCCGAAGGCTGACGCTTTTCGTTTCATTTTGGGGGGATGCCTCGTTAAAAACCTCATTAGGAAAAACCCTGTGGGAAAAAATCCTAATGAGGGAAAAAGAGTGCACCGAATTCCCCTAACGATGAATCGAAAATGTGAAACCTTGGTCAAAAATGGAGAATAACGGTAATGCCGAAGGCTCTCTTTTCTGAGGGCTCATGTGTTGATTAGCCGAAGGCTTGCTGTTGATGTCCTGGGGGGTGCCGAAGGGGAGCCCCTCAATTTGGGGATCGAGGGCATGATGGATGAGGGCAATGATTGAATTGTCGCCGGGGGGTCCCCTGCTTGCTGGTTAGTTGGTGATGAGGATACCCGAGGGCTCCCATTACCTGTGTGCTGTAGGCTATCCGTCAAGGAGGCATACTCCCCGGGGGCTACCCGGCCCTCACAATGCAAAGGGGGAATCCCCGAGGGGTGCCCTGTCATGAAGCCTTGGGCTTCTGAAGGAATGATCCCGAAGGCGTCTGTGGGTAAGTGTACCCGGAGGCTCTCCTTGATGGAGTGGAGCGAAGTAGAAAACACGGGGGCTTCCAGAATATAGCCGTTGGAAATATAGCCGTTGGAATACGTATCGTCGAGATATAGCCGTTGGGGGAGGAGGACACGTGGCGCGTGACGGTTGGCTGCCCGTGGGCGGCGTCACCGGTTGGGTGAAAACACGGCACGTAATGATCACTCTTGGCCGGAGGCCCAGTTTTTGGGCCCAAGCCCGGATTCTGGAGTCTATAAATACCCCATGGCCAGACCATTCTCCTTGTGCGTCCGATATCGTTAGCGAAGCTCTGCCAAATTTTCTAGAGAGAGAAAGCTCAAGCCCCCGGTCAAAACTCAGCTTTCAAGGTCAGTGTCCTGCTTTCCTCTCGAAACTTTTAGTAAGTTCCGCCCTCTGGCCTTAGATTAGGGTTAGAGTCCTGTAGAAAGCCTTCGAAACCTCAAGTGCGTACTTTGTCAAAAATGTCGTCCGCGAGCGATTCTCAGGACATCTCGAGGGAGTCTTCGGTTCAGGACGAGGTTGCTTCTGATGTCGAGTCAACTAGCAGTGCGCCCTCGATTGCTGATGACGAGGCCGTAGCCTTGGAGTTGCAGAAGGCCCTAGTTGCTGAAGTGGAAGCCGAGGGCTTCGAACAGGAGTGCGAAGATGAAGAATTAGCCTTCGCGTACCAGGTGGCGGAGGATGAGGCGCAAAATGAGAGCATGAAGGTTACAGTTGCTGTTCTCCCCCCGGGGTTCTGGGGAAGCAAGTAGCTCGAGGCCGCTAGATCCGACACCTCTGAGGGCGGTCTCCGG